TTCTAACAGCAGCAGCTGCTGTGGAGGCAAGAGCAAGCTCAGGGCATAAGATCTCTAGGCTCTGAGCCTGATAAAGCTCTTCTACTTGTGGAAGATGCTGGTCCCATGACCAGCACCCTCTGAGAAGAGCCAGTTGGTGGCAGAATAGTTAATAAGGAGGTCCAAATATTTAAGTAAAATCTTTTTTACCTCAGACTAAAATCTATTTTGGCCTCATATTGGGCAGCACCAACCCTTAGGAGTACCCCTTTGCCCAGCTGCCCTTAGGGGCCTATCACTGTGGAAAAATCACCTGCTAATTCCAGCTTTGGTCACATGGGTTGTCCTCAGGGGATAAGGAAGGGTGGTCTTGAAGAGCCAGACCCGTTTGAAGATTGGTTTTGCACCAAGAACTAGAGAACCACTGGACACATGGAGGGGAAGTGGGTCGCTGTATCACTTGCTGTCCCCCCAAAAAGAACAGTACTTGAGTTGGGGAAATTGTCTGTGCTCATCTTTAGAATGAGGTGGTATATAAATAAATTCAGTAAATAGCAGAGTTGAAGGAGGCCCAACTGCTTAGGGTCAGAGAAGAAACTTTGAAAAAGGTCAAACCTACAATTTCCTATATTAAACTACCTTTGGGGCAAGATAGAAGTCTTACCGGGAAATTAGCTATATCCCGTCTCTTCTCTCATTTTTTTAAAAGAGAGGAATTAAAAGTTCCGTTTTTAAAGCTCCTCCTAAGTTGCAATGGCTGTATTTTTTTGAATCTTGAAATGCCCCTATCACCTTAGCTTGAGGTTATAATCTTCCTTTCACAAGCTCTTAAAAGAGCTATAAAAGGAGCGCTCATGGCTCAGTGGTTAAGTGCTGGGCTGCTAACCGAAAGGTTGGCGGTTTGAACCCACCAGCTGCTCCACAGGAGGAATGTATAGCGTCTGCTTGCATAAAGGTTACAGCTTTGGAAACCCTATGGGGCAGTTCTACTCTGTCCTACAGGATTGCTATGAGTTGAAATCGATTCAACAGCAACAGGTTTGGGTTTTTGTTTTGTTTTGTTTTTTTGTTAAAGAGCTATTAAGAGACTTAAGTGAACTTTGAACTGTTCTAATTTCTGCACGGCTTGGTGGCTGAGAAGCAAAGAACAGCCTTTTTTAAAATTATTATTATTATTTAATTGTACTTTAGATGAAGGTTTACAGAGCAAACTAGTTTCTC